CGCCGCCACAGACGGCAGGCAGGGACCAGGGCAGGCAGGGCAGAGCTCTGCGCGAGCCACGGCTCTGCCCCTGCTCGGACCGGCCAGATGTGCTCGACCAAAGGGTGGACCCCATTTGCCCGGGCACGTCATCACCACCACCCGCAACAATGACGAACGAACAACACACACACACACACACCCAAACCTCAGAGGAGGAAAAGGTATATCCCTCTACCCGTCGCTCGTTGTCTCCTTTTTGGGCCTCCTGGGCGGCCCTCGTCACCACCGCTGGATTCGCCTCGAAATTCTGGTCAGAGCGCACCCAGGGAGGGGTCGGGGGAGTAGCGGTATCGGTACTGTTTGGTTTCCCCAGGGGGCGGACTGTAAGGAGGGGAAAAAACACAGGCAACATGAATCGTCGACTCCCAGGAAAATATGGGAAGTGGGGGGGACGACGAAAACACAGAAAATGTTTGAAAATATGGGGAATATTGTTATGTGTGTCTATTTATTTGTGTGTCCCTGGGCCCCTCCAGACTGGCTACGGGTATGCGTGCGGGTTGGCGGACCCTGGGGGGGGGCTCCCAGAACGGGGGCCCCCATCCGACAACACGGAACCATAGCACCCTCCGCCCCCCCCACGGGTATGGGTGCGTGCTGTTCGTTCGTCAAAGATCACATCGATCAATCAAAGATAGGCGTCGTACGGCTTGCCATTTGAAGCCGGCAAGGTGAGCGACCAGAGGGGTGATGGGCAGGGGAAGGCGGCGTTGGGGCGGGGAGGGTCTTCTGCCCAAGATTGTAGTATTGTCGCCGTGTCGTGCTGCGCCGGCAATGAACGAGCCCATATTCGGCCCGATGCGTCGGCATGGCTCCCCAGTGTTCCAGATGATTCCCCAAACTGTGGGGGTTCTTTCTTCAGAGCGTGAATTACCTACCCCGCTTTCGCTTCCAGGCAAAACCAAGTCATACCACGCGCCTCCTCGTCAAGCGGCCTGACCAGTACAGGCCGTGGTTTGGCATCGTTTGGTATCTCTTGGAAGCGAGGGTGGTCAAAAGCGAGGCAGGTTTGCCTTCCCCCTCTTTTTTCCGTTCTCAGAAACCGGGCCCCTCTGCGGGCCCAGCGGCCCCGTGCTCGTCCGCCGCCGCACCGCACGGTTTGCATCATTCCAGTGCGCACCACGTAGACTGCATTGCATAGCTTGCACTGCGTAGACTTCACCACATAGCCTGCACCACACAGATTGCACTGCGCACGTAGATTGCACCACATGGCTTGAACCGCGCAAAGAAGTTGCACCACATAGCTTGCGCCATAGATGTTGCACCACGCAGATCGCAACAAGTAGATTTGATCACATCGCTTGCGCCACACAGCTTGCACCACATAGCTTGCACCACATAGTTGCACCTCATAGCTTACACATCTGCAGTACATGAGCTTACTGATTGGGGTCCACGCTGGCTAACATACGAAGTCAGCAATGACTTGCAAATGGTTCGACACGCACACACACACACACACACGCACGCACGCACGCACGCACGCACGCACGCACGCACGCACGCCCGCCCGCCCGCCCGCCCGCCCGCCCGCCCGCCCGCACACACACACACACACACACACACACACACACACACACACACACACACACACGCACACGCACACGCACACGCACACGCACACGCACACGCACACGCACACGCACACGCACACGCACACGCACACGCACACGCACACGCACACGCACACGCACACGCACACGCACACGCACACGCACACGCACACGCACACGCACACGCACACGCACACGCACACGCACACGCACGCACACGCACACGCACACGCACACGCACACGCACACGCACACGCACACGCACACGCACACGCACACGCACACGCACACGCACACGCACACGCACACGCAGCACACGCACACGCACACGCACACGCACACGCACACGCACACGCACACGCACACGCACACGCACACGCACACGCACACGCACACGCACACGCACACACACACAGACACATACACATACACGCACGCACGCACGCACGCACGCACGCAACCGCTTGAGAGCGCGACGGCGGAAATCGTTGGATATCGATGCAAACGAGACGTGGAGACTCTTCAAGATCCTCGACACGGCGCATTCGGGCCTGGTCTCCGTCGAGGAGTTCGTTGAGGGGTGCCTGCGGCTGAGGGGGTCGGCTACGCGTGTCGACGTTGCCTCGCTGAAGTGGGAGATCCGCGGGGCGAAGAGAGGTGCGCCCTGTGGGTAGCAGGTGGGCCGAGCCAGGTCGGGTGGGGCCGACCCCCTCTCCCGAGGCCCTCTCGCCAGTCCTGGCGGGGGGTGAAGGACAGGGGGCTGGCCCCAGCCCGCAGTGCCTCGGCCCACCCCTGAGAGCCCTCCAGGTGCCGAGAAGAGTGCGGAGTTCACTGCCAGGAAGCTCGAGGAGGTGGCAGAGGGCCTCGGGGACCTGAGGGCTTCACTCGGGCTTCCGCGATAGACCTCGTTGCTGCGAACACCGAGTCGACGGGAGACGACCAAGGCAACATGTCAGGAGGACGACGGGAGAGAAGGAGGCAGGGGAGGAGGGCATCTGACGCGTTTTCTCGACCGGTTTGCCTCCAGCCTGCGGCGTTTACCAGGGGTGGGTCGCCGCAAATATGCGCGCACAATACAACATAAGAGTGTGCGAGAGCGGGTTGGATTGGTCATCGCAGATGGTCAAGGGAGGGTCAGTTACGACGTCGGCGGCCCTCCACCCTGCTCCCTCTGTCCTACATCCCTCATCTCGTGTCCCCCTTCCATTCGGGAGGGCCGCCAGTGTCGCAACTGGCCCTCCTCCGTGACACGGTGGGTTTGTGATGCGGCGGCGACCACACCGCGAGCGTTCAAGGTTGAACGCCGCCAGAGGCCTGGAGCCGGCCGATATTACACGATTTGCCACCTCGCGGCTGCGAGCCCAGGGAGGGAGTGAGCCGGGGCAAGCCTTCCCAGCTGGCGGCGGGGCTTCTCAGAAGCCCTCGCGCCTTGAGAGGAGCCGTCAGTGGCTCCGGAGAGCGCTTGAAAAGCTTCTCAGACGGTGCGACGGTTTCTGACAAGCCCCGCCGCCTTCTGGGAAGGCTTGCCCCCTCTCACCACCCAGCCGCGGGGCTGCCCCCCCCCGCGCAGAGGGGGGTAGGGGGAGGAGGGGGGCTTCTTGGAAGCACCCCTGCTGCTTGGGAGGCGCGGGCCTCCTCCACAGATTTTTAAGGCCGGCGCCAGCTAAGCGGCGGTCTCCTAGGGAGCCTTCCCCCCTCCCTCCGATTCCTCCGCATCCTCCTCGTCTCCCCTGGGAGGCGGCGCGAGAGCGCGAAGTTGTTCGCACTTCGCGCTTCGCGCAGCGCGAGGCGCGAAGTTGGGAGCCCTTGGATATGGCATCCTCTTCTGCAGTGCAGCAGCGTGCTGCGAGAAGACGCACCGCCGCGCGCCCCGCTTCGGAGCGACCTCCGGGGCCTGGCGCGCGCGAGAGCGACCGAGTGAGCGATCTATTATTTTGTCGGGCCTGTCTTTCTGCAGGGGGAATATTCCAAAACAGTCCAAAAGTAGTCTGGGGACAGTTCTGTCAGTATTTTTGACTATTGTTGGTGCATGTTTAGACTATTTCTTATTGTTCGTCCAAAGCCCCTCTGTAGGGGGACAGGCCCGACCTAAACCTATTCCTCACACCGTCTGACCATTCCTGGCCTGGCCACCGCCCATCGGACCGCTTTTCCGTGCTCCGAGACGCCAGCGGCGGATTGATGTCGCCCCGCAGTCGGATGTCTACGGTCCCTGGAATTGCCCTCGCCAGCTGCCCTCTCCCGTGTCCTTCCTCGCGGGTGCTTCCTCGTCGTCGTCGCCCTCCCCATTCCTTGCCCTGTTCCTCCCGTCCTCCCCTGGCGCCTGGGCGCTGCAATGCTTTCACACCAGGCACTTTCGCTTCTAGCCTCGAGGCCATCACAGATCCATGCGGCTCGAAAATGTAGCAGACAGATGGGATCGTGGGTGCTGGTCTAGATGTGGTATTGTTTTTTGAGACGTCGGATCTCGGGGTCACCCTCGTGTTGCGGCCCCCTGTTCTATCCTTGTCCCCCCCCCCTTTCTGTCTCCGTCGCGCTATGATGAACCATTCTGGTCTTCTGGCTGCCTCTGGTCGGAGTTCCAACAGCGGCACGACCGTTATGGCTGCGATTTTGTTCCCGCCTTGGTTGGCACATTCGTTGTCGTGTCTCTGCTCATGCTTGCAGCGCCGCTTGCTGGCACCACCGTGTATTGCATGACAACCGTGTCTTTTCGCAATGTTGATAATTAATGATCCTCCTCTTCCACCGCACCTGCGAATGCAAGGAAGTGTAGAGATGCCTAGGCCGACGCTTTTTTTTCGGTTTGGCCAGTTGTCACCGCTTGTCTGGGCAAAGAACAGTCATGGTCGTGACAGTCGTGGTCATTACCGTGGCAACCATCTGCTTCAGTTCGCGACCCTTTGCTTCAGTCGACGACGCTTCGCTTCAGTTTGGCGGGCATTTGATTATAGTATTTTTTTTCTCCCAGTTCCATCTCCTCCGCCTCCTCTTCCTCCTCCCTCTCGTGTTGATCGATTTGTTGGAAGCGGTATCCATGCCTGGCGTCCCTGGGTGCACAGTGTTTTAGTTGCCTGCGCCTCCGCCTCTCAGGTTTGAGCCTGCCGTCGCAATGTGGCCCAGTGTCGAAGACGCCTGACGGCGAGTTATCATCGCCTGCTGCCGCCTTTGAGAATCGTCCATGTTGCCAAACGCGGGGCCCAAGTCTGGCCAAGCTATTGGACTACGTGGGGCGTTCCAAAGCTGGCCTTGCATTCGAGGATCGATAAGTTGCCATCTCTTCCGCGGCGGAAGAACGGCGGAAGTAAAACGAGGGCGCCTCCGCGGGCGGAAGCCGGCGGAAGGTTGGAGGAAGTATCAAACGTTTCCAAGAGATGGACACGTTTTGATTTATGTGGTTCCGAAATCCGCCACGTGGCCAAACGTGGGGCCCGAATCTAGCCACGCTATTTGACTATGTGTTCCCTCAGCCGCCACGAAGCCCCTTGGGAGGGGAGGGGAGAAGAGAAGGCCTCCTGAGGCCACCTTGGGGCCTCCTGGGGGCTTTTTGGGCGCCTCCTTAGGGCCTCGGAGGGTCCTCTTGGATGCCTCCTGGGGCTTCTCAGGAGCCTTTCCGGGGCCTGTGTGGGCCTCTAGTGGGCCTCTTGGCTTTTGGAGGCAGTCTTGGAGGAGGTCTATTGCGCCGTCTTGGGGGCCTCTTGGGACGTCTCGGGACCGTCTTGCGGTCTTGTGAGCCTCATGGGGGCCTCGTGGGACGCTTTGGGGTGTCTTAGGGCGACCTTGGAGGCTAATGGGGCCGTGTTTGAACGTCGCGAGTCGCAAGCCCAAAAAGGCGAGAACGCTAACACAGTTGAAACAAATAAGGACATCCACTTGGAGCCCTTTTGGGGGCTTCGTGTTCCGTCTTGGGTGCATCTTGGGCCGTCTGGGGTGCATCTTGTGACCATCTTGAGCGTTCATGGGCCTCTTCAGCGCGTCTTGGAACCGTTTCGAAGGCCATCTTGGGCCATCTTGGCCGTCTGAGGAAGTTGTCTGTGGACGCTGGGGTCTTTCCGGGTCCTCCCGCGTGGCTGGCGCATCAGACCGAAGGCCCTTGGGAGTGGTTCAGAGGGGCCAGCGCCATTCAGACGGTCGGCATGCCGTGCACCCTTGTGGCAAGTTCCGGGGGCGGCGGATCCAGTGGGCCTTCGGCCCATCCCGCTGCCGCGCCCGGGTTGCACTTCAGAGGCTCTGCGGAGTCCCGGGGGGGATCTCCTGGGAGGCGTCTCTGAAGCTTCTTGGGGGGCGGTTGTGTGGAGCCCTGGGGACCCCGCAGGGGCATCTCGGGGGCCGCGGGAGGCCCGATTTGGGCATGGTGCTCCTGGGGAGCCTGGTGCTTCCGGGGACCCTCTCGAGCGCCTGCTGGCGGTTTCGGGGGCCATCTTTTGGCGGAGGGCTCGAAATGTCGGCTCGTGTTCCCATCCTGGGGCCTCTCTTGGGCTCTTCTTGGGGTTTTCGTTGAACATCTTAGGGGCCTCCTGTGCCATCTTGGAGCTCTCTTGGATCGTCTGGGGGGCCCTCTTTGGGCCTCGTGGGGCAAAATTCGGGGAACATTGGGCCGTCTTGGAGCGTCGAAGAACATGAACAAGCAAAAACTTTCAAACTCAGTCAGACACCTAACGACAATCAATAAGTTTAGCGGGCCCCTCTTTGGGAACCTCTTGGAGCCCTCTTGGGGAGTATCGGGTCGGGGGTGTCTTCAGCCGTCTGGAGGCAGCATTGGCAGTTTTGGATCGACATGTGGGGCCCTCTCGGATCGTCTTCGGAGCCTCTTTGGGGCCCCCTTGGCTGGTGTATTGGCGCCCTCTGGCCATTGCAAAACGAGTCTGTTTTTTTGTTCCCTGGCCGATGACGGCCGTCATCTAGGGGGGAAGGCGTCGATGACGTCACGTTTCGCGTCGGCGGCGTGTGGGAATGCATAGGAATGAACGAGGACGGGTAGCATCAGCATTTGGGTGGCGATCTGCACCACAGCGCGCGTGTACACCACAGTGCCTGCGTCTACTATAGCGCATGTGTACACCACACCGCCTTTGTACACCACAGCAGCCGCGTGCAACACAGCGCCAGTGTGTGCCACAGTGCTTGCGTGCACCGCAGCGCTTGTGTACACCACAGCGCCTGCGCGCACCACATCCACCGTGTGCAACACAGCACCAGTGTACACTTCAGTGCTTGCGTGGACCACAGGGCCTGTGTGCACCACGGCGCCTGTGTGCACCACTGCAACCGTGTGAAACTGACCACCACTGCTGCATATACAGTTTCAGAAGGGATCTGTGTGACAAAATGGATGGCCTTTGGATTCTGCAGAGAAAAGTGCTGTTATACAGAATGTGTAGGAGCCTCATGGAATGTGGAGCGCTGCTATGATCTACGAGTCCTTCCGGGTCCTCCCGAATTGTTCTATTTTCTCCCATATGTAGGAGGCTCCCGCAGATTTGGCCGTCCGAGAACCAATTGGACTCGTTCAGTAGACAGCTATGTGGTGCACGTTGAGATGCGCACGTGCGCCGTGTCGCCGACCCACACAAAAGGGGGGGAACTATGAGGGACGAAAACGAGGAGGAGGAGGAGGTGGAGAAAAAGAGCGGAGGGAAGAACATTGTTTTCTAGTACTAGCGTTTTCCACGCGTGGTGTTTGGTTGCCCGCAACAGATACTCATTTACATGCTCTGTCTACCTCTCCTGTGAACGCAAACGCTGCGGTGTATACCAGCGCGGCGTTGCACGCGAATTCTCTGGTGTACGCAGGTTCTGTGGTGTGCACGGGCGCTGCGGTGCACGCGAGCGCTGTGGTGTACACGCGCGTAGTGTTGCACATGGTTGCTGCGGTCTACACATTCGTTGTGGTGTACACTAG